AATAATAATAATTTAAAAAAGCACATTCAAAAAACACATTCAAAGATATGACTGTAACACCTTTAGGTAAAAGTGCATCAAACTCCAATAACACACATCTAAATACACACAGTTTGTTTTTTTCTTCCAAGACTGACATTTAAATACAAACACCTAACTAGCCGACGAAGATACTGTAGAACGGACAAAAGAACGTCATGGGCGCTTCATTGTAGTGCATTGTGAGCCACAAAATGAGTTTCCACTCTTTTGAAAACATATATGGCACTAGATAATTTTTCCATATTAGGATAAAATAAATAACTGAATCAAATTATCAATAAATAGTTTAGGGGTTCTTGGCTTGTGAGCTTTTAGTTATTAGGCTGGCAGGATCTGTTCATCGATGGATGATCGTCAAACTTGTTATTTAAAGGGCCATGAGGAATTTTCTCGTAAACAAACAAATTTACAAATTTCTTTAAATTCAGCACTTTTTACATCTATGTAAGCTAACTGGCTGTCTTCTTCTCTGATTTTGTTGGGGCTTTTAATGGCACGATTGGTTAGACTATGAATCTGTGTCAAAATGTCCAATAATAGAATTCAAATAATCCTAAGATGTATTTCTCAAAAATTCTATTCTTAAACTGTTTTTCTTGCATCTTTTCCTCTCTTCTAACATTACGGGGACTGAAGTCGTATCTACACAGAAACAGTTTTAGCCAAGATTTTCCGTCACTCACCTCGCGCATGTCTGACAGAACAGATATTAGCTTTAATCAGTCGGCTGTCTACAGAGGCAGCCTATCAGCTTGTATTTACTGTAATAATTTACAAATATTGTGTCCGAGTGGAGCCATGTAAATCAAAAACAACAAGAGGCCGAGAACAGAGCCTTGGGGAACACCGGGAGAAAAAAAATGCCCTAGCTTGTTTGAATTTCTTTAAACCAACAGTCGTCGAAGGGGAGCTAAGCGAAGGATGCAGCTTCGGTGTTCCCACAAAACACTGATGGAACATTTGCTTTTACATGCAGGGAGACAAGCACTGTGATTAAAATGTATAATGCACAGACTGCGACATCCAAACCTTCCTCCAAAAATGAAATTTCCGTGTGGTAGGTTGCTAGCCCAGAGATTAGCCCTGCAACAAACATCTGTTTTTAGAGTGAGTATCTACAAATACTAAAGTCGTTCAGCATCGACGAGACTCCATGCTACTTCTCTACAAAATTTAAACTCTTTCACAAAAGTTTAAATAAATATTTTTGGGTAACGCTGGCACAACTATTCAGTAGCTTGTGAGATCAAATGGAAACGTTTTGAATGTAACTGCAGAGAGATTGTCATTACAGCTTTCTGTCCAGTAGTTTTTGGCAAAGTTAAACTTTTGAAAACTCCCTTTTCTAAACACATTCATTGTCACTGGCATGTAGAGAGGACTTTATAAGTAGGTAGTAACAGAGACTGGTGGCACAACAGTCGGTTGGCAGGACACTGCTCGTATCCAGATGAAGGTGGAGGCTTCAGGCTACAGAGTGAGGTCAGGGTGTGGTCGGTGACCCTCCCTCGGTCAGAGTCTTGAAGTGGACGGACAGAGACTCTTCTTCTGGGTTTGGCGGACGTCTGTACTCCTCCCTGGTGATCAAGTAACCCAGCAGCACCCCGAAGCAAACCAGCAGGAGCCCCAAGACGTTGGCCAGCACTCCCTCTGGGGCGAACTTAGAGTAGGTCGGCCTGGGAACAAACCGAAGCAGAGAGAGAGAGATACAAATGACAAATATAGGTGACATGGAAAGAGATGGACGGATGAGATAAATCAGAAGTGGATTTATGGATCTCATCACCTTCATCAAACATCAACCTTTAGACGGATAGTTGAGCGGAAATGTTTGAGATTGTCGTGATCTGTCAAGTTGCTTTCCCACGTTTAAAGGCTCCACTGGAAATGCTCGCACTATTTAGCATCGCTGTGTGGAATATAATCTGTGGACGTGTATTTGTCTCGAACCATTTGGTATGCAATGCTTGGATCGGTCGGAAATTCTGGTGTGGTTCCGTACATCCTGTGGGCCAAACAATTCCTCGCCATCGACTACAATTTCAGCTTCTTTAATATCTTACTTTCCAATTAATTTCTTACAACTGCTTTCTCCTCTTACTCCTCATTCATTCAACTACTATCGGTCTTTACATAAAAAATATGAACATCTGGCACTTTAGATGCTTTCAGTGCTCCAGTCTTACATGTGGAAAAAGTTTTGTTGTTGTAAATTTTCAGAACACTCGACAGCAACCAGACGAGACACCGAGACCCAACCAGACGGACGTACATGATGCTGAAGAGGAGTTTCTCTGTGATGCCCAGCAGGCTCGTCCCTATGGCCATCACCAGCAGAACCAGGCCGCAGAACACGTGGACGGGCAGGTACGATGCCCGTAGCCATGACGACGCAACAGGAAACAGGAAGAACAGCAAACCCATCACCCACTGTGGGACACGGAGGGGAAAACGTTTAGTGTTTAAATCCACATTACACTTGATCAGCACTGTAGAAATGTAGAGAGCGTATGTACGTACCTGTATGCAGAACAGGACCAAGGTGGCCATCCCACACCAGCTGTGTAGAGAGTACATGTCTGGGATCTTAGCTGCTCTGTGGAAGTCGAACACAGCAGCAAAACCTGCAAGCGCACATAATCAGACGCACACATACACACAGCTGTAAGTGTTTATCTCTCCAGGTGTCAGATGGGAGCTAATAATGTTTTCTCTGGTGTTAACATTCACATCTGTGTCTCTCTCTTACCTATGATGCTGATGATGAGGGCGAGCAGGTGAATGACGCCGTGAAGCACCTTTACGTTCCGCTTCGCCTCGTTACGAAACACTCTGTAGACGAGGATGGCTGGAAAAACAGAGAGAGAGAGATGAAGGACGACATATCATAAGAGAACAGTCGACCACTATGAAGGTAGAAGTTCACACAATACCAAGAAAAAAAAAGGTTTGGACACATCTACTAATGCAGGGCTTTTCTGTAATTTTACTGTTTTCTACAAACTACAGACGTCACCACTATGAAATAACACATACAGTTGTGACTCGATAATCCAACACTAAATTTAAAACCTTCTTTTATGTCGGATAGCAAGGCTGTCGGATTGTCAAGACGGAGGTCGAGATACAAGGAGGGCTTGATGCTGGAAGGGTAGTTTGTTGTTAATATTCATTGTTTATAGTTGTTGATAACTAGTGTATTGTTAGAACACTACACATCGCTGGATTTCACGCCTAATTGACCGGTGTGATTGTACACAGGCCTGCTAGTTGACATCAAAGGTAAATATGTTCAGACAGCAGCTAAAATGACCCAAATCTGATTGTTTTTTCTCCTATGCGACTTGTATCTGGGAGCGCTCTGACGGGTGGAAGTAGCCGGAACACACAGGCAGTACTTGGCTGCTGATGCCGGTTTAGATAGTGGTCACAGTTCTGTTTCCACCATCGGTGGCGGATACGCTCCACCGTTACCATCCATGTTTACTTCTGTAAACACTGAGCACGCTCGCTGCTCATGACGTCGTCGTGTCCTCTTCTGTGCATGCGGGACACTTTTGGGTCATATGAAGTTCACACAGCAGATCACATACAAGTCGTGTTTAATTGGAAATGTGAACGAACTCACAAAAAAATCCAAAGTCAGCATTAAGTCCTGCAGTGTGAACGTAGCCAATCTGTTGGATTGTTCAGTCAGATAATACGCCGTCATCCTGATTGGTGACATAAAATGTCATGTCGGAGTCAGAATCCAAGGCTGTCGGTATGTTAAGGCTGTTTTTAATGGGTTCCATTTGTTTTTCCTAAAAGCCTGTCAGATAGCAAGGTTTCGGATTGTTAAGGGTCGGATTATCGAGTCACGACTCTACTAGTAAACTGAAATGTAAGACTATCAGTTGTGTGGTCCTGAGGTAGCGTTGGTGTGCAGTAAAACATCCTATTGAGTTACTGTAGTAAATCATACTATGGCAAGAACATTTCATCACCCTTAAAGCGCTGCAGAACAATATCGTTAAGTTCCCGACAATTTCAAAAGATTAGGGGTAAAAAACTGTCAACAAACAGTTCTTACACAGTCCATATTTTTCTGCTTCTCACAGAATAATTATGATTTACTTTAGTGCCTGCAGCTGATCGCTTTGTACTGATATAATATGAGCAGGACATTACAAATGTGATGATTGCAGCACATATTGTACGTTTGTGGATGTGCTGAAAGGCCTAAAGCTTCCCTCTCTGTCTGATTTTGCTGCAGCAAAAGGTTGCAGCCACTCACACACATACAACTGCTAATTGTGTTACCTTTAATCCTTTCTTTTGGCCACCTGAACCAGCAGCTTAATTCCATTTCTAAGTAGCAGCTTGGCCCTTTTGTTTTCCAAAGTGCCGCATTAGTTGCTCACCAATGACGAGAGCGCTCCAGGTTTCTAAAGACCTGAACTCACGTGAGGCTTTTTGAAAGGTTCTATTGTTGTAGATACTGAGACATGTTGAAAAGAGGCCAAAACGCTGATTAAGATGCTGTCAAATGTAACCACATTAGTGTGTTAGTGGCTGTGTGCAGAAACACCCCCCAGGGTGTTCAAATCTCTCACTAACCGCCCGTCTCAACCCCCCCATCTAATGTCCACCTGACCTTTGCTTTTTATCGCTCTAATGCAATCTAGCTCGAAACCAGCGGAGCTAATGTGGTTACCGTCATTAGCAGAAGTACCCAGGGCTGCAGACAGCAAGCCACAGAGGAGGAACATCTCACACTGTCTTTATTTCACGGTGCACGGAGATAACAGGGTCCAAAAAGCAACCGGTTCTTCATGTACAGTTTAAGGAACAGGGAGTCGGATCAAGCTGTGGAGACGTTATCAAAGCATGTGATGACTGAGCAGGAAACTATTTCAGCTACTAGGCAACGAGAACAAAAGATCAGGTGGAGGTTACACGACTGTACAAACAGGGAGAAGCTGCTGAAGCAGGAAGCAAAAGAATTAAGAGTGAGGACGCTTTAACCAAGATGCTTTAGGTTGAATTTTTCTCATAGGAGAGGACATTCCTGCTGTCATCAGTCATTTCAGCCTGCATTGTGAGGCTGGGCTTTGCTTGAAATGAACAAGTTTGAATGATAAAAGGCACCAAAACCAAATTGAATTGACATTAAATTGTTAAATATTTGTTGCAGAAAGCTTGGATCCTGTGTTTCTTGCAGGGTTAGTTAATGAACTACTGTAGCTAACCATGAACACAACAGCTAGCTGGGTACTAGTCACAATAACTTGAGTTTCGTACCAAACAAAAGGGACAAACAGCTCCTCGTGCTTTCAAGTTTGCTTGCCAAGTGGCCGCCATCCAGCCAATGTCCTAAATAGCCTTTCTTTGTGTAGCATCAACTGGCTGCACCTGTGTTGAGTTTGGTGAGTCACTTTTTAAGGGAAGTGAAAACTTGTGCAATCACTTATTTTACATTTTATTTTTTTAATGAGGTGGCTGTGGCTCAGGTGGTAGAGCAGGTTGTCCTCTGATCGTAAGGCACACAGCCACTAACTCCACAGTCGAAGTGTCCTTGGGCAAGACACTGAACCCAAAGTTGCTCCCAATGGCAGGCAGCACCTTGCATGGCAGCTCTGTCGCCATTGGTGTATGAATGGGTGAATGAGAAAACATTGTAAAGTGCTTTGAGTGCCACTAAGGTAGAAAAGCGTTATTTAAGTGCAGACCATTTACCATGTAATTAGCTGAAATTACTTGGTAGAAATCTGTTTTCACTTTGGCATGAAAGAGTCTTTTTTTGTAAATTATGTCATCCTCTATCGTGAGTTTTGGAATACTCAAAGCTGTAACCTCTCAGTAATAGCAGCAGTAAGCAAATTTTTCCTACATGAATGTATACAACTGATAAGACAAGAAGATTCAGCTTCACTGTCATTGCACAAGTCCAACAACAGAACCCCCCCAACAGTAGACCAAAGCCTTATCCACTGATCCACCACCATCCTAAAGAACTCTCTGTCAGTATTCCAACCTGCCCAATGGATTTCTAGTCCAACCATGACAGCTGCTCCCATTATGATGTCTTTCGGAGCTTCTTGTTGGCAACACCGAATGTATATAGTGCCATATTTATGATGTTTTATTTTAAAGTCGTCCACATTTCACCAACCAGTGCAATACGACTTTGGCGAAATACCTTCACATTAATGGATATCGTCTCTAATCTGATTTAGGATTGGAAAAATGATTAAAATGTCCCAACAAATTTGTGTTTTTTGGCACACTTTGATGCTGTAACCACATTTTAGCATCCTGAAAAGAAGATGGAACCAATGTGATCAAATATCACCCAGATTTCAACTGGAAATCGAAATTCCGGCTCACTAGGGATGGACAAACTAGTGCCACATTTGGTCAAATTCGTACTTTAAGAGAGAAAAAAGTGGAACCCTGCTGCTCTATAACTGAAAAATATGCTGCTGGTTGCTGACTGCTGCTTTTCGTGCCGCCCGCTTCGATTCCCCGTTGGGTTCGCTCTGTCAAAGCTTTGCTGGCCACAGAAACAGACACAAGCGCGCATTCAATAAATCAGACTCGCTGGATCTGGGAGGGAGATGGAAAGATGTCTGGTCAGTGTTAAGTTAATGCAACAGGTCAGCAGCAGTTTGGCTTGAGGCTACAACGCACAAACTCCCAACCGTGGACACACACCAGCAGGATTACTTATGTGTACAAAGCGCGGATGTTTTACGGCGTTCGACCTGCTCCCTGTTTCACTTTAAAGAATATTATCTGAAAGGACTTCTCGTAACTATGACGACAAACTGGATGGAAGATATTAGTGGTATCAGCCATGTGACAGGCAGAAGGGAAGGATCACTTCCTGCAAGTGCTTTAATCTATTTACTTTTTTTTTAGCCCCACTGGCAGCATGGTTATAAGAATGGCCCTGCTGGGTGATCAGTCAGCTGATTGGTTCACTACTTTGGTCCAGAATGAAATATCTCAGGAGTTATTGGATGGATTTCTGTGTCACTTGAGACAGAATTTGATAGTTTCCTGAGGATGAATGTTAACGACTTTAGGGATCCTCTGACGCAACTATTGGGTTTACGTTTGTGGGTCAGAGTGAAATATTTTACAGTGAATTGCCATAAAATTTGCAACAGATATCTAACCTCGTCTTTTGGACCCAGTTTTGTTTTGCCTTCCTAATAGCAGTTAAGTCCACAGTTTCCTTCTCTAGAATGATTGTGTTGCCCCAACCTCTAATTAGGACTTACCGTCGCCATGCAGGAAGACCAGGCCCAGCACCATGCACAGAGGGTGCAGGTTGAACTCCTGCGCTGAGCCGTCCCAGGCAAAGCCCTGGCGGTAGTGACCCATCCACACACCCGTCAGCACCACCGACGCCAGACCCAGCACCTGCGACGCTCCTACCAGCCCCACGAACACAGAGCGGCCCTGACGGGGGGCAGACTCATCCATGATCTGAGAGAAGGTAACAGAGTGATTAATACTGATGATTTAGGCTGTAACATTTGTTGAATGAAATTAAAGCGAATTAAGAAGCTGAGGTGGACAAACACACAGCGCCATGTGATGAAGTATGACACCGGGGTAATTTGACCTCATTTAGTAATTCAATATGAAGCATTTCAATATTTTACTAAACAAATACACAGTTTATGAAATTTGCCAATTTAAAAATGAGAATTCTAAAGTATAACAGTGATATGTTATTAGATTTCTGTATTATTGTGAGTGATCCATTATAATGCAAATAACATTTACAAAAGTGTATCGATGTGAAAAATTAAACTGCATCGAGTTAGTGCAGTAGCTAGAGGTCAAGTGTTACAGAAGACTTTGTCATGGTGCCCCGTTACTAACTAAACCCCCACAAAGCCCTCTGCTTGCCAACACAGAACTGCCTTCTCTGGTCGCAACAGTACTAAACAATAAAAGACTTCAGGGCTGCAGACAGCAAGCCACAGAGGAGGAACATCTCGCACTGTCTGTATTTCACGTTGCACGTTACTACAGCTAATCTACAATACTTAAAGTATGTTATATGTAGAAAAAAAGTACAGATTGGGTCTTAGTATCAGCAGCCACTGCATATTGAATAACTTGGATCAGATCAGGGCAAAAAAATAATCTTGCGATCCCTCATATGTAACGTTTTGGGTTTAAATCATAACATTTAAATAATTTAGGTGAATTCCCATAACAGACAGCACTGTCAGGTCTTCACCTTAATAATCAAACCTGTTCAGTAAATGTTCTGTGCTTATCTCTTTACTCGACTTGAAAGCACTTCGGCTCAACAGCTGTTGAATGAGCAATATAAACATCAGAGGCTTGACTTAATGATAACAAACTGTCAACAGGCTCAGAGGCAGTAAATGAGTCTTGAAACATGATGATGCCACCGCCATGCTTCACATGGGATGATAATTTTGATGTTGGCATGCAGTGCTTAATATTTAACAAAATGTAGTGAAGTTTACGATTTAATTTGCAAAAAACGAACTTGAGTAACGTACAAGTTATTCAAAAACAATGCTTGCACTCTCACTTGAGAAAATCCAGATACTTGTAGTTGCAATCCTCTAACCTGCTGATTGATAGATGTGAATGAATTAAACATTGGCTACTTAACTGACAGGAGCAAATACTGTAGTTTTGCAATAAAATCCACTAAGCAGCTGTGAAAACATAATTACCAGGATAACATGCAGCTCACGGAAACAAAATATTGTCGGGTTTTAACCATAAGCATTAAATTTCTCTTGTGTAAATTCACATAAACTGCAGAATTTTGACCATCTTGTTCAGTAAACTTACAAAGCCTATCTTATTTATCAGCTGGTGAGCACTTTGGCTTTGAATGTGCTTTATGTATACCGGCTCCTTGACTTAATGATGGTGAACTGTCCAGGTCCAGAGGCAGCAAAGCAGCCCCGAATTATGATGATGCCGCCACCGTGCTTTGCATTTAAAGAAAGTAAGTATTTGCAATAAAAGGAAAAACTTGAGTAAAGTACAAGTTTTTAAAACCATTCCTTGAGAAAACCCAGATACTTGCACTTGAAATCCTCCAACCTGCTGATTGATAGATGTGAATGAATTAAACATTGGCTTCTTAACTGACAGCAGCAAATACTGTAATTTTGCAATAAAAATCCACATGGCACTGACTACACAGCTGCGAGAACATAATTACCAGGAAAACACGCAGCTCATGTCGAATAAAACCAAGAAACAAACAAACACAGAGAGCAGAACCCGCATCTGTTCCTTTTTTTGTTTTTTTCTAAGCATGTTTTCTAAGAGTCATGCAAGACGGCCGTGACGCTGATAACACAGAGCAGGAAGTGTCGCACCGAGCTGACGGGAGCAAAGTGAGGACATGAGCAGATATGAGCCAGAATCACAAAAGCTCTCCTGCTGCTCGCCTCATTACCGCAGCTGAAAGTCCATTATTACAACCCCTGCACGCTCAATTATCACTCCCGAGTGTCACAGCTCCCGATCCAGACACAGCACATGTGCCATTATCGCACAGTCACACCGCCGCAACTACAGCTTATTGTGGAAAATTACAGCCCAAATGACAGGCTGCTGTGGTGTTTACGCACCGCGCGCCGTCACCTGTTACCTGGGATCGACGTGACTCTGCAGCCTGTTTGACTTTTAATCGTCTTACGCACGGTTCAAAATGCAGCAGCGAGGGGGTGGAGGAGAGAAAGGAAAGAAAAAAAAGGATCTAGAGAGGTGGTGGAGTGAAATACTTACTGCGCCGTTGGCTGTGCTTTTGCTCTGCTGAGGAAGTCCTGGAGTCTGGACTGACAGATCCGCCTTCCTCCCTCCTCCCTCTGACCTGACTGTGCAGATGTGAGACTGTGTGTGTTTTGGATGCCCTTATTTACAGGCATGTAATCGTAGGACTGTGAGAAAAAGAGGGGATGCCATTGTTTTTTATTAATCATCATATTAACATTTTTCTTATTATATTATGAGCTGTTAAACTCACACATAGTAAAATCAGATACTTTAAAGCACAGCGAGAATTATTAATCAACAGAAGCCATCGGATTGAGTCTAACGTCACACTAACGTCAAGCCAGAGGAGGAGGGTGGGTGCGTGGGTGGGCGGGGGGGAGACTGCGTGGATTGATGACTAACAGCCCTAACAGTGTAATGGTTTGTTGCCCTGGCGACGCTGGAGTAGGGGGATGGAGAGGTGGTGGAGGATGTGAGCGTCTGTCTTTGAATCGTAGCTGCTCATTAGTGGAGAAGGAGGCAAAACATCAGCTACTTAATTAAAGCCACCAGCAGCGTTGCTCCTGATGCCACCGCTGCCACCACTCTTACTTTAACGCTGCGGGTAAAAGTGTTATTTTTAGTCGCGTTCCACTGTACTGGGAGGTATGGAGGAGTGGTGGTGTTTGGCAAAACGACTTCTCCAAAATCAAAGAGCTCCAAATCCTGCCGCTTCGACGACACATAAAGAAAAACAGGATTATATATCTTGTTAGAAGTCAACTTTCTGTTTATCACACAGAGTCATCAGTAGCAGAGTCACGTGTTTGCTGCCTCCACTTCCATGACGCACCGTGCGTAATTTTACGCACAAGCTGCACCGTGGGAAGCCTGCAATCGATAGTTATTCAACTTTTCGCACACAACAGAGCACAGCGTGAGCTGTTTCATGCATTCCTGGAGTTTGCAAAAACAACTTCTATTTTAAGTTAAATGTCTGAGCCCGGTTTCCCTGCAATCAAAACGAATGCTGTGGAGTCAGCAGGAGGGTTTATGTAAGTGGTTGTTGCTGTAATTAAGTTACATGCACACTGATCCACTGTTTACTACAAACACCTGTCAAATTTAGTGCAGCCCGATGCAAAAACCCTGAAAATGTAGACGCTTTGCAAAACTAAAATTAACAGCAGAGCTTTTGTTCTGAATATGTTGCAAGTATAAAGTGCAAAATAATGCAAGTGTGCAAATCCAGACCCAAAGTATGTGGACACTTTCACATCTTCTGTTCTTTAAACTTCGCTTTATCCTGTTCAATTACTTTAAGAATAAATTAAGGGAAACTGCTCAAAGTACCAAGTGTGAGCTTTAATTTGAGATGATTTACAGTAACACAGACGGAACTGTGTGGGAGATGACATTTACCACATGATGCCCAAACTGCAGCAGTTTAAAAGTAACTGGACAGATACACATGACGTCAAACACAGTCGTCATATTCAATAATAAAATCCTCTGTAGGAAGCAGCTGACTACTGTCTTATCTTCCCTGGTGATGCTTTTACATCCTTGGATTGTGCATCTCTTCAGCTGCTTTGCTTGTTCAGGCTCACCGTCCTGCTGAATAGGTTCTGATGTGTGTGAATGTGAGAACACAGAGTGCTGCTGTGCACCTCTGCATTTATCCTGTCACCGGTCAAATCATCGGTAAATGTCGGTGCACCACTTCCCCAACAGATCACGTTTGACAGATGAGGTGATGTTTTGGCTCACGAGCGGTTTCTTTTTCCTCAACTCTGTCCATCATTTTGATCTTTTTTTGTTCATCCGTCCAGAAAGCTTTGCTCTACAGTCTGTATGTTTCTGAGAAATTCAACCTGGCTTTGTTGGCCATGTTGTATTTCTGGTCTTGAGTTCTTCTCTTGATCGTCTAGAAGGAAACACCTACACCCTGAAAAGCTTTCTGTTTAGTCATAATGTGGTTAATCTTTCTCTCATCCATAGGAGATGCACTGTTTTGTCCACCACCTCATTTGGCCATTTTGAAATTCCTGTTGTTATTTTCCTCACATGCAGGGTCCAGAAACATTTAGCAACCGTGTGTTCGGTTACTTCTGCAGTTTATGGGTTAAAGTCACACAAAGCGTTCTTTCTACTTAAAGCTGAGACTTTAATGTTGCATCCATTATTTATTTGCAAATATTATTTTATTTATTGACTCTGCTGAAGCTCAGACACTGAAAAACAAACTAAAAAAAATGTGTCTGGATGTAGATTTCACCACCCTGCTAATGTTTCAGAGCTCCTGCAGCCAGAAGGAAGTCTGCTTCTTAACCAGGTTCAGAATCAACATATTTAAACTTGCTTATGTTTAATATTTAGGATGTCATTTTATTTTTTCTTGTGTGGTTTTGTTTCTCATTCTCATGTCTGTTGCCGTGTCTTTTATTTGCTTTTTTGTTTTCACTGGGGAGCATTTGGCAGAATCTAGTCTTGCAATTAACACTTAGCATGTTTGGCTCCAAGAGAAAAACTGTTTTCTCCAGAAAGTAGTCCGTCTGGATCTCAGACTCTGCGCCACATTTCTTTCTTTTTTTATATTGTCTGTGAAGATTCTCAGTCATCCAGGTCGTGGTTATTCTCGTAGATTAATCAACTGGACTTGAAGAGTTCCTTGAAGACGTTCCACCTCTCATCCAAGAGGCTTCATCAGAGTTCCAGATACTTATATCCTAAAGGAGCCATTAACACCTGAGTTTCAATTGGGGGTTTGTTGCTCCTTCCCCTCGTTATGTGAGTCGTTAGTGCTCCTCCTGCCACAATGGGGTTCGTTAGGGTCTTCTGTGGCTAGGTGTGGATGTGGTTTCATCTTCCTGGGGAGAGATCTCAGGACTGAATTGTAAACAGGTGAGAGGTGATGCCTCAGACCTCCACCTCTGTTGAGGGATGGTCTTTCCAGTTAGAAGGCTTCTTTCACCCCCTCTCTCAAACCATCTGTCCTCCTTGGCCAAAATCTGTACATTGTTGTCTTCAAATGAGTGTCCTTAGGATGCAGGTGGAACGCTGAGTTGTTTTGATCTTGTGCATGCAAACTTTGAATTTGCACACGAACAAGTCCTCTGCTGCAAATCAAAGCAGTGGAAGATAAAAATGCAGTGAAAGCACCTCAGCATCTTTATCTTGCAGCTGCTTCCTGTCAGCGTCCATGCACCAGGCCTTGTTCTCCTCTTGAGGGCGCTGCAGCCCTGGATAATTCAGTCAGGCACTGAATGGAGCAGCAGCATCGCTGGTGTTCACCCTGTGGCCTGAGGACTCGCTGGGGGGACAACAGACGATGCACGAGGAATTACTTCCTCGAAGACCAGACGTTGGTCTAAAAGCTGCACCATCCAAACACTGTCACGTTGTTCGATTTCCCAAAACTGTGCTGCTGCATTGTTAAAACAGAAAGAGGCGTATTTGGGATGCGTGTTCGGGGGGGAATGGGTGCTCACGTGTTCCTTAGGTTACCGTGTGTGCGTCAAGCCTTCCACTCTCACTTTTCTAGAAGGTGGAAAGAGAACAGTTGTCAAGGCTATCTTCATTAATGTCAGAAACTGGTGGCTGCAGCCGTTTGTGTGTTTGCTGTGTGTGTGTGTGTGTGTGTGTGTGTGTGTGTGTGCTCTTTTTCTGTCTGACATTTCTGATTTCTCCTGTGACTCACAGGAGGCTGACTCACCACTGCTCCTTTTGCTCTGAGTGTATGTATGTGTGCGAGTGTGTGTGTGTGTGTGTGTGTGTGTGTGTGTGTGTGTGTGTGTGTGTGCGAGTGTGTGCGCTGCATATCCAGCATTGTTTTTCTCATCGCTCTCCCTCTTCATCTTTTACTGTCTTATAACTTTTAATGACACCAGTGGGCCCTTTTTTTTTCCCACCTCCTTTTTTTTTTTCAGTGTAATAATGAAGTCTCTTTGGCCCTCCTTCAGTATGACTGGACGCATTTCTACCTGTGTGGGCTTCAACCTGTCACACTTCTATTAGTCTGAGATTTTTTTTTCTTCTTCTTCCACCCACTGGTGCAGTATGAGGTCACAATTAAAGAAACACTGATTTCCCCAATGAGCAAAATGTAAAACTGTCCTTTTAATTTCATGCTGAATTTCAAGGCGGCAGATGAGGAGACTGATACCATTTTGATGCTGTGTGCTAAATCAGCCTGTTAGCGTAGCTTAGCACAAATACAGGATGAAACAGCTAGCATGTTGAAGTTAGCTTGTTGATGTCATACAAATAAAAAAATAAAAGAGAAGTTGTGGTTTTCTCAACTGAAGTGGCCAAAACATGTATTATTAGTTGGCTCTGAAACATTTTGATAGCATAAAAACATGTCTATGGGGAAAATGAATTAGCCTACATTAGCTTCAATAAACAAACAATACAATAATTAGAAAATGCAATTTTATCTCTATATTCGGTCTCCACCAGCTTGATTATTGGCAAGGAAACATGCTCACCTACACGCTAGAGAACTTCATATTGTTCTTTTTCCTTGCCATGCAAATAGCTTTTCACTAACCTATAAGAAATGCACTCCTTCGTTTCGCCATTTTCTTATTTCCCTTTGTGCATCTACAACTGCTGATTTTTTCAAACCAAATTCCTCTTATGATCCTTTTTTATTTTGCTTTTTAAATTCTCATTATTATTTTCCTGACATGGATGGTCCAGAAGCCACTGCCTGCAGTCTGTTAGCTTAGCTTAGCACAAATACTGGAAGTAGAATGAAACAGCTAGCGGGTTGAAGCTAGTTTGTTAAAGAACAATACAGCAGATCCAGTAAAATCTCCTCTTAGCTCTATGTTTGGTCTCCACCAACTCCAGAGACATATATTTGCCGCTGTAGCTGCGAAATGATGTTAGCCGCTAACTTTGCCTGCTGCCAGCGCTGGAATAACTGACTAGAAGAGCAAACTTGTTCTGTGGGCTCGTATTGCCTCCACGCCATCATTTTTTTTAACTGCAATTCCCTGAATTTTGTGTATATGTGTGTATGCTATGTGTTATTTTTATTTGTTTTAATTTACTCATATTTTATTTCAT